CCCCCATACATTACGAATACAGACGTTAAGCCCCCACCTCAGACAACTGAACTGGCCCCCACTGGGGTGGGACCTCTGGCATCCCAAAGTGGTTCTGGTGAAAAGTCTGGATCTACTGCTGCCTCCAGATAGCACTGCTCTACCTCCCTTGGAGATCTCAAGCTTTTGTTCCAGAAAAAGGTAAACGCAGAGGATGCTTTCCATGGCAAAGACATTCCCAATTCTAAGTTCTCCCCAATGTCTACACTACATCCCTCGTGCTGAAGTGTGAAGACCTCTGCACATCTGCACTGTGAATGCGGAGGGGACTTGCTCAGCGGAAGTCTCACCTTCCTTCCTTGGAGAGAAGTGGAGGCCCAGAAGGGGCTCGAATCTGAAATTTCTTCAACTTTTTTTTTTTTTTTTTTTTTTCAGACGGAGTCTTGCTCTGTCGCCCAGGCTGGGGTGCAGTGGCCGGATCTCAGCTCACTGCAAGCTCCCCCTCCCGGGTTCCCGCCATTCTCCTGCCTCAGCCTCCCGAGTAGCTGGGACCACAGGTCCCCACCACCACGCCTGGCTAGTTTTTTGTATTTTTAGTAGAGACGGGGTTTCATCGTGTTAGCCAGGATGGTCTTGATCTCCTGACCTTGTGATCCGCCCACCTCAGCCTCCCAAAGTGCTGGGATTACAGGCGTGAGCCACCGCGCCCGGCCACATTTCTTCAACTTCTGTGCAAAAGGACAAGGGTGTGGGAGACTGAATGCTCCCAGACTCCTTTCCTGCTCCTATTTCTGATATGTAGGTTAAAAAAACATTCACGGCCGTGAGTGAGGAGGACTCTGGGTTGTTTCTGACAACGCTCCAGGACACTCTGAGGGGTTCTCCTGGCCTCAGCTATCGAGGGCTTGCCTAGCACTCAGCCACCTCAGTTGCCAGCTCCCCCCTCCCAGGAAGTGGGGGTAAATGTGAGGAGGAAGCTGGCACGGGCCTTTTCCACTCACAGCCGCAGTGCGACCTGGGGGATATGGCCCAGCCTGGGAGGCTGGGGACAGGGAGTGTGTGTCCTGCCTAACCTGCATAAGGCCGAACTGCCCCAGAGGTCAGCCTCATTTTCTCTGGCCCTGTGGGAGGAAGGTGTGTGGTCTGCACGAGGAGAAAAAGTAGAGGCTGTGCTGCCCATGGCAATGCTGTCTAATGTTTCATTTGCAGGAGGATTTTCTGGTCTGTCTTGTGCAGAATTTCCAGGCACCTAAGTGCCATCTCCTCGGTGCAATCACGAACTCCTCAAGGAGAGGGACTCTACGTTCCCTTTGCTTAACTCAGAGCCTGGCATGGAGGGAGTGCTGGTTCGATGCTAGCAACTGGTTACACACAGACTGTTCCCCCGGTGCCTGGCCCCGGGCAGACATGCAGCCGACATGACCTGAGCTGTCATCCCCAGCATCCGGGATAGGCGCTCATTGAAATGTCATCCACTATAATGAAAAGTGAGCGTGTGGAGGTGCCTGGGAGATATTCTCACAGCTCACCAGAACCCGCTCTTCTCCTCGGGATTCCTCTAGGCTCCCTCCCAAATCAGGCCATCCCCAAGAACTTCCTCCCACTTCCTAAAACCTGAAAATGTCCCTCCCACAAACAACCTCACACCTCCAAACTCACTTTCTAGATGTCTCAGAATCACTTAATCTCACCCTGAGTCATTTGTAAAGAATCCCATTTTCATATCCTATACCCTGTTGGGATTTCCAGTCTCTTGTTTGACGTCTGAGTTGCAAGTGCCTTTATAGACAGGCCCACCAGCAAGGTGCGACCCACCTTTCTTTAAAAAATAGAAGAGACTGAAAGAGGCTCTAGTAGAAAACATCAGAGGTTGCCAATAAGGAAACTGATGCACAGAGAGGTAATGCAAGTTGCCTGAGGTCACACAGCTGGTAAGTGCCAGTGGTTGGGCAGGGGCTCCAGTCCTTCCTGCCTCCTATTTCAGTGCCCTGCTCAATACAGTCTGCAGTTCTCAGGTTCTGCATCTGGAGAATACCTCTGGAATGGGACTGGTCAAAGAGTTCAGTGAGTCCCCAATCCCAGCACAGTTCCCTAGCCAGGAGGGGGCCTTGATCAGCTGACTCCAGAGCAGGCATGGCTGGCAGGGACACTGACTGAGGATGGGCATGGAGAGGCTGGAACCTTTGGATGAGCTGGTTGTGCATATGCAGCCAAGAGTGGCTTGACTTTTATCTCAACAACGTTTCAAGCACAATTACTAAATGAAGACAAACCGCTAATAGAGGCCCTTAAAGATGGATATCAGGGCTAAGCAGCTCTCTAGCAAGTCAGGGGCACTTGTTTCTTCCTGCAGAAATGCAGGCCAGCAGAGGAGGTCCTGCAGATGAGACACAGGCTAAGGCTGGGTAATTGCCCACCAGTTCAGACTGCAATTATCTCCTTAGAGAAGAGAAGAATGCCTTCCTTTCTGGGAGAGACCACTTAACTTTTGCTGTGGCTCCTCCAGGTGATCAGTGCTGGGGGTCAGAGGGGAGAAGGGGTGAAGTGGGGTCAGCAACTAATCCAGTCCCCTCATTTTACAGATAGGAAAACCAAGCCTCAAGAGAGGCCGAGAAATTTGAGCAGTCACAGAGCTAGCTGGTTGCAAAGCCATACATGACTCAAACCCAGAACTCCTGATTCTCAGCCTCCCACTTCCCAAAGTTACACGCTAAGCACCTGGACACCCTGTTAAAATGCAGATTCAGTGGGGCTGGGGGTGAGGTCTGAGACTCTCCATTCCTAAGATGTTTCCAGGTGATGCCAACGTTGCTGGTCCATGGACTATACTTTGAGCAGCAAGTCACTACAGTGTTGTCTGGAAGGATACAGGGATCCTTAAACTTAGCCTCTGATTATACTGATGCTCAAACTCTCCACTTCAGCCAGACAAATCCTCTAAGACTAATAAAGATACTTATTTAAAATACTAATAATTATTATTTTGACATTCATTGGATACTTAAGTGCCAGCACTGTTCCAAATACTTACATGCATTATCTCATTTAATACTCAAAACTCTGTGAGATGGATACTATCCCTATCTTACAGATAAGGAAGCTGAGACTCAGAGAGGTTAGGTAACTTGTCCTGAGTTGCACAGCTAGTAAATGGCAGAATCAAGAATCAAACTCAGTTCTGTTTTTTTTTTTTTTTTTTTTTTTTTTTTGAGACGGAGTCTTGCTCTGTCGCCCAGGCTGGAGTGCAGTGGCTGAATCGCACTGCAAGCTCCGCCTCCCGGGTTCACACCATTCTCCTGCCTCAGCCTCCCGAGTAGCTGGGACTACAGGCACCCGCCACCTCGCCTGGCTAGTTTTTTGTATTTTTTAGTAGCGACGGGGTTTCACCATGTTAGCCAGGATGGTCTCGATCTCCTGACCTTGTGATCCGCCCGTCTCAGCCTCTCAAAGTGCTGGGATTACAGGCTTGAGCCCTCACGCCCAGCCAGTTCTGTCTGATTCTTAATTAGGTAATAGCTATATAAAAATACACCCTTTAATCCTTCCCTTCTCTGAGCTTTGGGAGCCTCTCCCCAGAATGTTCTAAACAGTCCTCCAGCCAACCTATGTTTCCTCCAGTGATACTTGGCCTCAGCTTCCTCATAATGCAGAGTCCTAAGAGTCCTTTCTCCCCAGATCTGTGTATACCCAATGGACCTCAACAAGTTATTTTTAGAATTGAGGCTGGGGAGACACAAGATGAAAAGGAGCCGGGACTCAGAATAATGTGTAAATAGATGATCTACAAGTTATTTTTAGAGTTGAGGTTGGGGAGACACAAGACGAAAAGGAGCCGGGACTCAGAATAATGTGTAAATAGATGATCTACACAGCAAGACACACGGTGATCTCTTCTTGTGCAATTAGAGGCTGCACACTTGCTCTAAGACTATTTCGGCACAGACTCTGAAACTGCCTTCCAGGCTTTGCTGGAAGTATCTGAATGGGGGAGCAGGTGGTCTGTGGAACTGCATAGCCATGGGGTTGTTGAGGATTCCTGCAGAATATGAGCAAATCTCTGGGTGTGGACAAGATTTCGTGGCAGAAGCAGGGGGCAGGGCCTCCTCTGTATGCTTCCAAGCTCTACTCAAACCCAGCCCTGTGTTTTGGCCTCACCTTCAGGGTTATGAACCATCCCTAGTCATACCACGTCTAAGTCCATGTTCACAAAATGTGAGCTCATGGCTGTAAATGTGTGTTAAAGGACCAAGAACAGCACGGTGCCCATAACCATGCATTGATTCTCATGAAGGGACTGGTGTCTAGCAGGCTTGCCCCGGTTTTGTGATATACCTGCCTGTTCTGACTCTGGTTCAGTTCTTCAGCAGCTTCTTCAGATGTTGCTTAACTTGCCTGGTCCTGTCTCCTGGAGAGGTCTTGGAGGCCAATATGGCGGATGAAGATACATGAGGCCGTGATGGGAGAGAGCAGCCACGAGGAGGGACATTCAGCAGGGCTATAGATCACCTTACCAAACATGACACCTCTGCAAAGTAGGCTGATCTGGCACTGGGGGATGGCCCAGTATGTTGGGGCCTTACTGCCTGGAGGGAATCAGAGTGATTTTTCTTCTGGTCACGGGCACCTGGCTAGCTCACTTCGAGTCCTGGCTCTACCGTTTACAAGCTGTGCCTTCTGGGGCGTACTACTTAACCTTTCTGGGTTTCCAACCCTCCACCTGCAAAACGTGCAGATAATAAATGTGCAAAATGATAACCAGTCCCTACTTCAAAGGGTTGTGGTGAGGACTAAATAAGCTAGTGTATAAAAAGTATTTAGAATAGTGCCTATCATATAGCTTATAAAGGTGAGGGAGAGCTTAAAAATACATATATCGTGACAGACATACGACCCGGTCCCCACTTTGGCAGACAGCGATAAGGAGGCATCACACAACGTTCTGGCAGAAGATCTAAGAGAAAGGGCACTGTGTGTCTCTTTCACACATAGTTACAGAAAGTGGCTGACACTGGGGTACCCACCTTTTTAGGGCATACTCCAGTTCATTCTTCTCCTCATGGGCTTCTTGGAGCTGGGAGAAGATTCTGGTCAGGAAATCTTCAAAGTTGGATAGCAAATGAGGTTCATCCTTCTTCAGTTGCAGCCACAGCTGCTTGACATCACTTTCACTGCAAGAGAAGGGATGCTCATGTGGAAGTGTGGAAATGAGGCTTCATGGGAAATACAGAGGTTCCCAGACAGGAAACTGACAGCCAGAAACAGTACCGTCAGAATCACCATAAAGATGACAGTAGCTAACGTGGACCGAATGCCTGCTGCATGCGAGGAGCTTCAAGGGTATCAGCTCATTTTGTCCTCACAGTAACCCTATGAGGCAGAAGCTGCAATTACCCCATTTACAGATGAGGAAGCAGGTGAAGAGAGGTGGAGTGAGCTGTCTAAGATCACCCAGCAGTAACTGATGGAGTCAGGGGTCCAGATCGGGCTCTGTCTGACTCTGGTGTTGGCCTCCTTCCCCACCTCGCTCTGCTGCTTCTGTTCTCCTGTGGCCTTCACGATGGGCTCCTGGGGCTGAGTGTGCACAGCAACATGCTCGGGTGCATCTCCAAATGCCAGGAGGAAGACAGGACAGGAGCCCAGTGCACGTGAGGACACACGCTATGGAGCTAAAGGAGAGAGCTTGTTGCCTCCAGGAAGGATGGTCCTCACTGCTGAGAGGTAAAGACGTGCCATGTGATGGACGGCAGAGAGCAACTGTCGCTGCAGGAAGAGAAGAGAATATGCAGCACCCCACTGTGGCCTGGTGACACTAGGGATGACTGACAGGCAAAAAGAAGGGAAGGAGCAAGTCTGAAAGATGTGCGCATGCAGAAAGACAAGGCGAGAGAGATTTGGGAGACCGGGAGGCCAATAAACAAAGGCTCAGAGGCACGTGTGTACACGGCTCAGTGGCAGAGATGCAGGGGCTCAGGCTGATACCCAGGGAGGGAATGAGGAGGAGACACACATGGTGGGCCCTGTTCTCCCTTTCTGGAGAAACCAAAAAATCTGTAGTCAATGATCAAGCTAAGTTAAACACAAATCTGAAAGAGGATAGGTTTTAATTCAATAAAAGTTAATAATTTCTCACAGCTAGCAGGCAACAGAGTGTTATAGCATCAAGTCTGAAAGTTATAGAACAATAAACAGTAGAGTTCAAGTGAAACTTCACAGGCTAGTTTATTATCAATTACCAATTCAACTTTGTTGTAGCAAAGTAGAGAATAAATATAAATCTTATCCCCCAAATAATCAGGTGTTTGATTTTTTAAATTAATGGGCACATATGTATTTTCCAACACTTTTTTCACATCTATAGAACAAGATGTAATAACTAGCTCAGTTCACTGTCTTCTCAAAGTCTTTTGTTACTTAAATATTCACTCTGTGTCTTAATCTTTCAAGTTTCCAGCTATTGAAAATATAAGTCCTTCACCTCCTTCCATCCTTTCAACATAATTACATTTTGATTATTTACTCTGTTAAACTTTGAGACTTTATGTAGTGTATATTTCACATTTAATTAATTTAATTTGATTATGGAAGATCGCTTATGACCCTCATTTATGAGGATAAAGTTATCTGTATGCCTATACTTCTCTTGAGCTCTTTCCAAAATTTGCTTGTCCATTACAGTCATCTGTACCTTGACAATCTGTCACCAACAGATTCCTGTTGGCTCCCCAGGAATCCTCAGGATAAAGAATAAAATTATCTGTGCTTATATAACAAGCATTACATTTTAGAAATTTTCTTCAGAAGTAATATTTGATAGTGCCATGCTAGCAATGCCCCTGTGGCATAGACATTACTCTCTGTACCCTGCAGAGAAGAGGCCCACTGGGAAGTGGGTGGTGACCTCCCATCCCTGTGGCAGGTTGTTCCCTGCTGTGGTCTGAATGTTTATATCTCCTGCAAGTTCCTATGTTTAAATCCTAACCCCCAACATGATGGGATCGATAGGTGAGGCCTTTGAGAGGTGATTAGATCACGAAGGCAGAGCCCTCATGAGTGGGACTAGTGCCATCGACACTGTGTTCTACAATTAGTATTGTTTTAAAACTCTGTATGCCAATTCCCAAATATGATAATAAATAAATGTTTATACTATTATGACTACATAAATAATATCCCTGGAGAACCAGGACTTTTCCTAAAATTACGCCATTATTTGTTTTACTTCCTTTCCCTGTCCCACTTCCCCAAATCCCTTATCAGTTTCTTCTGGAAGTACCTCCCTAATAAATCACTTTAAGACAGAAACCACAAAAACAGAAACATAAATGTGACTTGTCTCCCATTAATATTCCAAAAACAGAAGATCTGAGGATAGCTCTGACCAGGAATCCTCAGGATAAGGAATAAAATCCTTTGTGCTTGTGTATTAAGCATTATATTTTAGAAATCTTACTCAGAAGTGATATTCAATAATGCCATGCTAGCAATGCTCTTGGGGAATGGACATTACTCTCTGCACCCAGCAGAGAAGAGGACCACTGAGAAACAGGCCCACCTCTGATCAGTTACCTGGTCATCTCTTTAACACTTCATCCCTCTCTCCCTCCTTTCCTTGTTCCATCACTTCCACCAGTTCTTTCTTCTATCCCATCCAAACATCCGCCTACTTACTTAGACCATCCATCCATCCAACCACCCATTTCCTTATTAACTCAACAAGTATTTATTATGATCTACTGTAAACCTTGCACTGTACTGGATGTCATGGGTGAATCTGGGAAATGGGAGGAGAGGAGGTAAGGAGCCTCTCTGTTTTTCAGAATGAGTTCCATTCCTCCCCGCCCCACAACACACACACAGCATGTTGTGGGGAGTCTTATTTCATCCTACAGGTAAAATTTAGATGTGACAAAGGGTTCAGAAATAAGAGGGTCTCAGAGAGACACCATGGTGACCTCCCATCCCTGTGGCAGGTTGTTCCCTGCTGTGGTCTGAATGTTTATATCTCCTACAAATTCATATGTTTAAATCCTAACCCTGACGTGATGGTATCAGAAGGTGAGGACTTGGAGAGGTGATTAGATCATGAAGGCAGAGCCCTCACGAATGGCACTAGTGCCCTTATAAAAGAGTCCAGAAGCAGCTCATTCACTCTTCCTGCCACATGAGGATACAGTGAGAAGACAACTGTCTGTGAACAAGGAAATGTGACCTCATCAGACAGCAAATCTGCTGGCACCTGGATCTTGAACTTCCTGGCTTCCAGAACTGCCAGAACTAAATTTTGGTTATTTATAAAGTACCCCATCTATGGCAGTGCATTACAGCAAACCAAACGAATTGAGACATGCCATCACGAAGTAAACGCATTGTAAAATCAAGGTTCACCTTGCCAGCCTAGGTCTGTCTGTCCACACCTGCCAGGTTCCTGTTGGAGCCAACTGAGCTAAAGTCCCAGCGAGATTTGCAGACCCACCTGCTCGTCTTCCAACACTCTTTGAACTACTTAGTCATGGCAACAACAGCTTGCCCCAGATTTCTGGGAAAGGGACAAGTCTTCCAACTTTTGATGAAAAACAAGCCAAAGCTCACTAAGCTGTCAAATCACTCAGCCAATCAGGCCACCAAGGAAAGCCAAAGTGCAGATGTCCAGTCTCGAGCTTCTAGAACACACCAAGGCCACCCCTCCTGGGAGGATACGGGAGTATAGGCTAGAAGGGATGCTGGGAGGTTTATCAATCCATTTCACTGCTTTCAGAACAACACACAAATCATTTCGGTGAGCAAAATCTTCAAAGAGCCCTCAAATCTTCATAGCCTTTCCTATTTCCCTATCTGAGGTCTCACAGCCATGAATGTTTCCCTCATGCTGCAACCTAAGCCCACTTTGGTGAGGATGGAAGGGGCTGGCCGCCATCTTCTGTGTATCAGTTTTTACAGACCACTCTTGAAACCTCCACAAAACCTCCTCTTCTTCGGGACATCTCATTTTGGCTCAGTTCTACACTGGCCTTTGCTATAGGTCCTCAGAGTCACGTCTAGTGGACTCTAATTGAGAACCCTGCCAGGAAGGCTGCTGCCCTGCAGTGCGGGCTGGGTGGAGAGGCCCCTTCTTTCCATTACAGCACCTCAGCTCACCTGCACTGCCTTCTCCTTCCCCCTTCTCCAGGAGGAGGTGTCACACTGTCACCAGGAATGGTCTCTGTGCTCTGGCCTTTTGTCCTTGGAGAAGCTGGGTCAGGTGTATGACTAATGAACTTCCCACCTACCTGTGCCCCCTCCACCGGCCCAGCCGCACCCTCTGTGATCCACACCTGCTGCAGCCCCTTCTAGACCTTCAGCAACGCTGCTACTGCTGCTGGTCTTGAGATCCACTTCCTGTGTAGCACCCCCACCAGGATCTTTCCTAGGCCCTTGCCTATCCCTTTCTTGCCTGGAACACGCTTTTGCCAGTCTTTCCCAATTCTGCCACAGTCTACCAAATTGTTTGCTGAAAAATTCACAGAGCTTCGTCCTGCAAATCATATATAGGCCTCTTCTCTCTTGCCTCCTCTTTATCATTTCCCACCATAGCCCCTTCTCTTCCCAAGCTCAGGAAACGTCAGCTGCAATCAGTAGGGCATTCCCACCCTGCAGGAAACACAGACCTAGCCCAAGATCTAGAGACCCCAAAACAAAAAGGCCAAAGGCAGAGGCTAAAGGGGCAGAAGGTATTACATGCTTTTCAGGCCCTCCGTTTGGTTTCTACTAGCTATAACATCACATTTTGCTTATTTTATTTTACTTTACTTCAATGTCAGGGCTTAGATCCATGTGTCTATTCCAAAGCACCTTTTAGGGAAAAAAAAGGTGAAGGGGTAATTATGTTTTGTTTGAGATCCCAGCCGTCTAAAATTTTCCAAGTAGTGGCCTGCTAAAAACAGGTTAATTTCCCACCTTGGCTTGCTTCACAAGCCTGGTGTGCTGGGGACACAGTGTGCAAATGCTGCTACATGATGGGCTTTTGCCAGGAAGGCGCCCAGAGCTGGGGCAGCTGGGAGGCACCGTAGCTGTAGAGACCCAGGAGAGGTAAAGATGCTGGGGAGCTGACAGTGACAGGAAGCCTTAGTGAGAACTCCCTGAAAAACCCTGAGGGCGTGGTACAGACCTCTGATGTGTGAGTGCCCCATGGGGAGCAAGGCTGAGCCAAAGACTGCGGGATAACACATGGCCGGGAGTGAGGAAGGTGTGGGGGTGGGAGAGAAGGAGAATAGGAATGTTTCCTACGGAAAAATAAAGTAAAAAGCAGAGACAGAGCCCAACACGCAGTCAGGTCATCACAAAGGACACGCCCCCCACTGGCAGAACCAACGGGCCTTTCCCTGCACTGCATTCCAGTGCAGGGACCGACACCACATGGTTAACAAAGGTTAATTGTTGAATGGACACAGGAAGAGGCTCCTCTCGGGTTGGTCTCCATTCTACAAATCACTGTCACCACTTACTCTTCCAAAACCTTTTGGGCTCCAAGTCTGTCCATCAGCATCTGGAACTGGGCTTCCTCGTCTTCGCCCATGTCTCCCAGATCCTCGTTCCCTCTGGACTGATACACCTTCTCTTCGTGGCGCTGGGCCACCTGCTCACCTGCATCTTCCTGACTTGGGTTATTCTGGCTGAAGAAGAAGTGACCTAAGGGGTGCAGGGCACAAGGATCTGAATTAGACCCACCCACCCAAGAAGAGTTCAGCTTTCTCACCCGCCAGGAATCACCGAAGGTTCATCTGAGAGAAGGAAAGGGAAGGCCCCTCCAGTAAAGATCCATGGATGTAGGTCCATGGACACGTTCCAGATTCTGTGTCTTTTCCACTTCCACAAACACCCCACCAGTGATGCTAGGATCTGGGAACGGCAGAACGCAAGACAAGTATGGTGCTCCTTTGTGGTTCTCAGTCCCTTGACATCTGGCTTAGAACGCACCTCTGTTGATTTCTTCTTTAAGCAACAAGGCCTTTCCCTGCACTGCATTCCAGCACCCTGACTGCAGAGGCTCCTATCGTCATCCTAGTCATCCTCCCGCTCGCATCACTAGACTTCACATCTATAAGCTCCTTAACAGTTTCCAGTGTACTTCCTCCATACGCATACTGTCCAGTATTACAGCACTCTGTCTTATCCTCCCAAGTCAATTAGAAGCTCCTGAAGGTCAGGAAAGGCATCAGATACTTACTAGAAAATTATATGGCCCCACACATGAGGCAGATGTATGGTAAAATTTGCCTTTGATGTATCTGATAGGATAGTGTGTCTGGTTTCTTTATATTGTTCATAGATCTCAATTCTCCTTCTTCCTGGTTACCTGAGAGTGGCTAGTCTGTTCAAACCTTCTAGAAATTCCTCTGGTAGCTGTTATCCCTCAACCTGGAAGATTCAGCCAGACTTGGGTTGGAATGAGCCATCCAGTTGTCCCACCTTTTGGCCATTTTTCTATGAAGGCAGAAAAGGAGAGGCTGCAAATCTCATCACAGCTCCCCCTTTGATGCTATGCCTTCTGCAGAGCTTCCGTCCATCTCCCTTGCCAGTCCCAGTGGCAGGGAACTTGCTAATGGCAGTGCAGTGGGCACTGAGCAAGCAGCAATGTCAACAGTTGAGACAGGCATGTGAGGAGGCCCAAGCAATCCAGAGCCTGGAGACCTTGAGCTCCAGGTCCCTGAAAGGAGGGCAGGAAAGCTTTACTACCTGCCCCCCAGGTCTAGAGGGAACAGGAACGCACCTTAAACAGTGCTAAGTAGACCCATAACCCTGCGGTCCCCAGCACCCATCAGAACTTACTGAATCCAGTAGTAAACTCCTCTGGGGTCAGATAGCCATTGCCATCAGCATCCAGGGCATCAAACACATCCTCCAGGTCCTCCAGGCTGAGCGGTAGCTCCTTATGCAGCCTCTGAAAACAACCCAGAGTGTACTGGTTAATACTGACACTCACCGGTGGCGGGGCTGACCTGGGACTGCAGAGCCTTCTGCCAGAAAGTGTCTAGAGTTCGGCCCAGGCTACAAAAGCCAGTAGCAAGCTTCTGCATCCAGACTGCTTCACCATCCCTCTCCTCCTTTCCATGCTAGCACAACTACCATTGATTGGGTGCCTACTAATGTACTAGGCCATTTGCTAGGTGATTCATAAATAAATACGTAAATATGCATTTATCTATCTATCTGCATTTAATTCCCATGACAACGCTTTGAGCTAGGCACTATTATCGCTGTTTTACAGATGAAGTTTGAGGTGAAATTACCTGCTCCAAAGTCACATGGCTAGTAGTGACATAGCCAGGAGTCAAATCCAGCTCTGATTCCAAAGCCAGCACTCTCAACATCTGTAAAGGACTCAAACTGTACGGGACCAAATACTTTCAGGATAATACCCACATGGCATAGTGTTATAAAGTTAATTGCAATCATGAATGTAAAGCATGTAACAGTGCCTGCATAGAGAAAGCATTCAACAAAAAGTAGCAGGGAGGCAGAAAGATAGAGAGAGACTCATGGCCCACTGAGGCCCCTCAAGGGGTGCATGGCAGATCCAGGCTTCAAACCCTGTCTGCCCTGCTCTCCCTAAGCCCCCTTTCCTCTCCCGTACCATGATGCAGGGGTGGGTCATTTACTTTTAAAGGCCTCTCCTGCTGGAGGCCCCTGGTGTCCCAGTGCCTCAGCACTGCATTTGTAAGTGTCTACAGACACACATTTTGGTCCTTGAGCTCTGAGGGGATATGGGATAATCCCCCTTCCTACCTCTGAGTGACCCACACCCAGGCCCTGAGTCCAGCTTCCACTCCGGCTCCCGGCTGACTGGTAAGGAATTCCTAATAAGATCTCAACTGCCATTGGCTTAAGGTATCAAGCCCCCAAGAGTATTTGTGTGTTAAAGGGGGACTGGACAAGACAGTTCCCCTTGGAGGAGGTCATCGTTGGATTTGAGTCTAGAACAGACTCAGACCTCACAAGGAGGGAAGGGCAGAGACCAGCTGATGGCCCAAGAGCAAAGTAGCTGAGCTGTTGCTGCTCCCTTCTGGCCTTCTGCCTGATGTGCAACGGCCTCAGGCCAAGGCTAATTTGCATAGTTGAAGCAAGTGTCCCCTCACAGCCAAACAATCTAGGTCTCCAAATGAGAACTCCCCAGAGAGTTCATTATCTCTCAGTCGACCATCTCCCTTCCTCCCAGCTACCTAAGCGGTAACTGCAAAATTGCCAGTGTGCAAGTGACTGACAGCTGAAGACAGTGAATACAGGGCTTTGTAAGAAGAAAGGTACATACCAACCTCAACAATAAAAAAGAGCTGGGAGGTGCGAAAGCCCATAACATAACTGGCAAGAACACTTGGCTTGATCCTATGGCAGTTCTAGCGGATAAGCCATAAAGCTTAATTTGGCAGGTACATGCATTAAGAGAGACTACGACGCATTATAAAGTGCGAAGACAGGCTGATGTGGAAGCCATTTAGAAGAACTGAATTAAATATGAATGGGCTTTTCAAAAAAGGAAGGAGAGTGAGAGAGTGTGCAAAGATTCTAGAAGTACATCTGCTTAGCATTCAGCAGAATCTCTGATTTATCAACAATCCATAAACCAGTTGTCTGAAAAGCTACAATAGGAGAACACAGGGTGAGGAGAGAGTCAATTTTGCAAGCAGGGATTTTATTAGCATCATTGGAAATAAAAAGCATCACACTTGAGGTAGGGTAAAAGCACAAGCTCCTGTCAGGCTCACATTCCTTCCTTGGGATAATCCTTCCTCCTTCCCCACCCTCAGCCTAGGATTGCTGGATCTGATTCAAAATGTGGTCTCTCACACTGGGCTGGAGCAAGAAATGAGCTGCAAGAAAATTCCAGAGATCAACGGGACCCTCAACAGGCCTTTCACCCAAACACCCCACACACTTTTCTCTTGTTAGCATGAACCAGGAGAGGCTAGTTCACGGCTCACCTTAGGCACCATTCCTGGATCCAGCAGCACTTCCAACCCCAAATCCCCCTGTTGTCTAATCCCAGTCCTTCTTGTCTACATCTCAAGCCAGTTTCCTCCTTTTGTTGTCAGCGAAGATGGGGAAAGCAATATTATAGGTTCCAAGTAGTTCTTACTCTTCATGTCCTGGCAAATTAGCACTGAGTGCTTCTTCAGCCTTCTCTGCAACTGCACTACACCTGATTCTTTAACCTTGTTTTGTTGGCCCTCCTTGAAAAATCTTTTAGTCTTAATAACCATAATTATCTCTTATTTATCACTCTGCTCAGGGCCTGCAGAGCTACAGAAAACCAGCTTGTTCTGGTATGGTCCCCTGGTACTGTTTACATTATTTTTGTTATTTTTATTTTTTTGAGATGAAGTCTCGCTCTGTCACCCAGGCTGGAGTAGAGTAGTGTGATCTGGCTCACTGCAACCTCCACCTCCCGGGTTCAAGCAATTCTCCTGCCTCAGCCTCCCGGGTAGCTGGGACTACAAGCACCCACCACCACGCCCAGTTAATCTTTGTATTTTTAGTAGAGACAGGGGTTCACCCTCTTGGCCAGGCTGGTCTTGAACTCCTGACTTTTTGATCCACCTGCCTCAGCCTCCCAAAGTGCTGGGATTACAGGTGTGAGCCACTGCACCTGGCCTACATTTTTAACTAAGTGAGATAAGCAGGGAGGGGAGCAAGATGATTTATTCCACTGTGCAATAAGCCTGTGAGGCTCTGAGATTAGCCTAAAGTCACAGTGGAGACCACAGCTGGGAAAAGAACTGATTTTCCATCCAGGGCTTGAGCAACTGTCTAATAGTTCTCCAGTGCATTCATTCTGTTATTCTCTCACCGTCATTACCGCCCACACCTACCCACCTACCAGCACCACCAAAAGCAGAACACAAAGTCTCCCTTGCCAGCACCACCAAGACCCAGCCTTCCAGAGATCCTGTGACACTCACAGCTTTTCACGCACCTGGAAGGGTGGGCCAGGGAAAACGAGAGGCACGAGGAGGAACCCAGTTTCCTATCCGTACTGCCCATGGCACTAGGAGCTCTTGAGAACTCCTTTAAACACCAGCCTCACTCTTCACTCTCATCTCCGGCATCACTTCCTCTCTAAGGCCTCTGCAACTCCCCAGGTTAGGTCAGGTTACGCAAGCTCCCCAGACTACCTTTCTCTCATTCATAAGTCTTATCTCGATGAGCATTTCATATGCTGACAGATGTGATTCGTTGATGAATGTCTGCTCCCTCAGTGCTCTGAGAACAGGGACCTCATTCATTAGGCATTGTTGTGTCCCCAGGATCTAGCCCAATGCTGACAAACACGAACTCGTGTTTGTTTAGATAAGTGTTGAAGGAAGGCATGGATAAGCGCTTGACTAAGAGCAACGGCAGGAGACCCTGAGCTCCCATTTACAGAGTGCTGGTCTAGACCTCGCACACTCCAGATCCTGACCAGCCCAACTGCTAATTCTCAGCAAGACTCATAGTGACTGGCAGCCTTCCAGAACTTGGAACATGGAGCATCTACAGCAGCAGTACTGAGAGTTCATGCCCCAGAGCCATGGAAAGTGGTGTCTTTGGTTGCACTCCAGCCAGACTCCTTTACCTTCCTGGTCACCAGCCCAGTAACACACCCCACGTAGCTTAAAGCATATGGTTGCACAGCTTCAAACACGCTTCCATGGCATTTTTATTAAGGAGAAAATCAGAAGATATCCATTTTTTATGTCCAGAATGACACTGTCCCTCCTTCTGGGGCATTCACAGCATTCTTTTCAGACGCCGTTCCAGCACCGACCACCCTCTTCCCTGTGGTACAGTTCAGCTATCCCAAATCTCTTTAGGACGAGAGTGGGAGGTGCGAGGGCAGCATCAACCTTTATCCTGCTTTGCACCTTCATGTGCTTGGCTTGGGCTGATTACGTGGTATAGGCCAGTTTCTCAATCTCGGCACTACTGACATTTTGGAATGGACGATTTTTGGTTAAGGGAGGCAGGGGAGGGACCAATCTGTGTATTATAGGATATATAGCAGCATCCCTAGCCTTTGCCTGCTAAACGCTGGCAGCACTTCCCTCACCAGTCGTTTCAATAAAAAACGTCTCCATACATTGTGTAAGGAACTTGGCTGTGCTTTGGTCAAGGATAGACCGTGGTAGAATTATACATCCTCCGTGACTCAGCGAGTTTAGAGCGCAGGCGTATAATTCCACTGGTTATCACAGCCATATAGCCATAACATGAGAAGGCCATCACTTGGCTGTACACCACTATTGTCTGTAAAAGGTATAACTGTCCCGTTGACAATGTGCAGGCATGCTTGCGCTTGTGCCCACAGAAAGAGAGAGAGAGTCAGAGCTGTCTGTCATTGCAAACAGATTGCGGGGAGCCAGGACACACACCCAAAGAAAGAGTTAATGAAGCTGCTGACCCTGAAGGCAAGGGAGAGTGGGCCATGAAGCTGTGTGTGGGGGCCGCCGCATTAAGTAGCCAAGACAGGGCGGACAGTGTGAGAAAGCTGTTGATGAAAGCTGCTGCTGAATAAAACCATATTCACCTGCCTATGACCCCAAGTGTTGTTTCTGCTCATCCACCCACTTCCTCTGGACCTCAGTACGGGCTGGAACCTATCCCGAAGCATGACAATTGGCGTAGTCGTGAACATGACGCATTGCCATATGTCCTCCAGGAGGCAAAATTGCCGCCACTCATGTAGATTGGACACAAAAATAACAGCAGCTGGATATGAGTGGAAGATTCCCTTTTCAGCAGAAATGCCCGTTTCTTTTCTCTAAGACAGGACAGACAACTTGCACCTTAAAACTGCAATGTGATGGTACAGCTACTGTATAAAATGGTATGGTGTCTCCTCAAAAAATTTATAAAATAGAATTATCCTATAATCCAGCAATTTCACTTCTGGGTATATACCCCAAAGAATAAAAGGCAAGGACTTGAACAGATAGTTGCCCATCCATGTCCATATCAGCGTTAGTCACAAACAGTCAACAGGTGGAAGCTACCCAAGTATCCACTGACAAAGGAATGGAGGGATAAAACGTGGTATATACATGCAATGGAATGTTATTCTGACTAAAAATATTGTGACACATGCTGTGATACGGATGAACCTTGAGGACATTATACTAAGTGAAATAAGCCAGTCACAACAGGACAAGTATTATATAAATCCACCTATATAGGATACCTTGAGTAGTCCAATTCAGAGAGACAGAAAATAGAACGGTGGTTGCCAGGGGCTGGGAGTAGGCGAAATGAGGACATTGTTTCATGGGCACAGAGTTTCTGTTTTGCATGATAAAAAGAGTTCTGTAGATATATGATAATGGCGGGTGCAGAAGAAAGTGAAAGCACTTAATATCGCTGAACTGCACACTTAAAAAATGGTTACAATGGTAAATTGTGTGCTATCTGTATCTTACCACAGTTAAACACAATCACAGTGCAGAGGACATCAGGGACTGGGCTAAGTCGTGGCACATACACAGTGCATTTCCAGGGATTTCCAGGTCCCAGTCCCAGGGCTGAGTGTGCTACATGCTTAAGCTCATTCAATTCTCTTTTAATGCTGGGAGGTAGCTATAAATAATTCACAGCTGAGAAACTGTAGCCTAGAGGGGTTAAGAGATTCACACACATTCGTATTACTAGCAAGTTGCAGATTGAGGATTAAAACCCAAGTTAATTTGCTATAAAAATCTTTTAAAGTTTTCTAGTTAACCTAAATCAGGAGTTAGCCGGCTTTTTCTGAAAACAGCCACAGCGAGTGCATATTTTAGGCTGTGTGGGCCATTCGTCTTTGTCACAACTACTTCACTCTGCCACTGCAGTGTGAAAGAAGCCATGGAAAACACATAAAAGAATGAGCACATCTGTGTTCCAGGAAAACTTTACTTACAAAAACAGGTAGTGGCCCAGCTTTGGTTAGTTTGCCAACTCCTAAATGACTCTTAAGTTTGGCATAGCCAAGAATTCTGGGCAGTGTTGGGGAGGCAGGTGCTTGGTGTTGGTAGATAATCCTTTTACTCCTCCAAAAAATTCAGGGAAACAGGGCTTTTGAGGCTCTAGGTTTTCTCAGAGAGATCTCCTGACCATCCTCTCCCCATCTCCCTCTCCCTGTCTGTGACTTTCTTCCCACTTGGCTTCTCCATTAGCTCCTCAGCCTCCTGTGTTCTTCCTCCCACCTGGCCTGTGGCCTCTCCTTCCTTGAAGACCACTCTCTGCTGTCAAGGACCTTTCCTGCTTTCTGAATTTGTATGTGTATGAAAAATGTGCTCTTTCCCTTCCAGTTCCCATGACGCTGTGCTGGGAGCCTAAGGTAAAAAAGGCGGTGGTGCCCAGGCCCAGGAAGTTGGACACCAGCCAAAGGCGGTGACCACATGTACACCACGGCCCCATGTGGAAGTGACAAGCCGACAACACAGATGCCTGGAGGACCTGCTGCAGGAGAACCAAGGGGCATGGGGACTTTCTGCAGAGAGCCACAGCTGACCATGAGAAGCCCCATTTTTCTTCTTCTTCATGCATCTCCCCCAGCCTATCTTCCTTCAGAGGTGGCCAGCGGAAGCAGCCAGAGATGGTGCTTAAATAACATGCTCTGTTCCCTCTCTTGACAGCACTTGCCAGCCGGAAGAACTAAACATTTCAAATGCTTCATTGACCACAGGTTCAGAAAAGCGTCAGAAAATTAAGTAGGCAGCGGAAATAAATGCCATGGATGCCAAGTTATTGGCTTGACGGCTTGTTGGTTCAGGCGTCCTCCTGCCTGGATCAGGAGTGGGGACTGGGGAGGAAGGCGGAGTCAGTATTTCTGGGACTTAATGTTTCTGACTATATTTCAAGTCAAATACAAGTGATTTCTTCAAAAATTTATACCTAGTTGCAATTCTCCATGACTCCTCATCCCTTCATTAAAGAGTGGGGCTCAATGAGAGTTAGGTTACATACAGCAAGAGTGCTGAGTGGCACAGCACATGTGGCCCAGAGTTGACCCTCCATAAATGTGAATTTCCTTTTCTTTCTTTCTAGAGGAAATAATCAAAAGTTAAGCCTGATTTTGAAACCACCACCACCAACCACCGCTACCGCAGACCTGTGAATGCCAATTACGAAGTTCACAGACAGGGGTTTGTCAAAGGTTTCCTCAAAACACACTGAATCTGGCCTTCCACGTGGTGAGGCTTTGGGGACTGGGTTTTGGGGACAGAAACTTACTGGGGGAGTCATCACTGCAAAGAAGGGTGGGCTGGGCTCATTTGTGGGCTGAGCTGGTGCTGTTCCCCAGGTCTTCTCCCTCAATTCGTGCACCAGGTGGACAGTGGAAGAGCGCCAGGAGAAGCATAAGAACACCATCACATGGGGCCAGGGAGAGGAAGAACTGCCACACTTCACCTGGGGTCACAAGGCTCCTTTCGTAGCCTCCATACCTCAGAGCTCACATGCACGAGCAGAGATGGGGCTGAGCCTAATGAGGGTCTCTACATTTGATTGCCCGACTTTGGTATATTCTGAAGAACTAGACTTAAAGAGAGCCTAGCCATTGTGCTTCCTCCAACAGCACAGGGATGCGTCCCTTCAAAAACTACTCTGATGGAGTGAGTGACACAAAGACGGAGGGGAAAAGAGCTGCTCTGAAAGTACTCCAGTGGAGTCTGTGTTTTATTCACCCATGTTCAAGTGAAATCCTGACTGCGGCATAACAGACTTCAGTCACACACTGAGAAGTTTGTGAAACTAAAGAAAGAAAGGCACCAGACCAGGAGTGGGCAAACTCTGCCCCTGGGCTAACCCAGCAATCCCCTATTTTGGTGTGGCTAGTGAGCTAAGCCTGGTTTTTACATTTTTAAATGGTCAAAAAGAAATATCAAAAGAATAACTGTACTTGGTGACACACGGAAATTACATAAAATTCAAACTTCCTTGTCCATAAAGTTTTATTGGAACACGGCACCCTCATTTGTTCACATATTGCCTATGGATGCTTTTGTGCTGCAAAAGCAGAGACGAGTAGCTGTGACAGAGACTGTAAGGTCCACAAAGCGGAAAATACTTATTCTCTGGACCTTTATAAAAAGGCTGCCGGGCACTGCACTAGGCAATGGTGTGCACTGATGCTCTGCACACCATCTCTCTGGAGAATCTCTTCAGGAGAGTGCAGTGTGTTTGGGTTTGAAGGTGAGAGACGGATAAGACAACCTCAGAAATGCCTTCCTCCCAGGCTGTGGGAGACACTGTACCTATTCCTAAGGCACAGACAGCAGGAATGACTTCGTTATAACTCAGGTTGGTGCCTTTCTACTTTCAGTTTCAGCAGGTTCTTCTCTGTGTCTTACTTATGTCCCTTATGTTACTATTATCATTTCCCACAATCCCGGAAAGTTACCGAGGCAGAGAGGAAACAGCCCTGGAGTCTGACAGCAAGTAAAGGCCAGAAATAGAATGAACCCAGGAGGTCCGGTTCCTAGTAGAGTTTGGTCAGACCTTTCCTTCCAAGATAGAACCAATGGCACCTTTTCTGTTAAGGATGTGACCTCCCATGGGGCAAGCTCTAACCCGAGACAGGGAGACATTTGGCATTCTCGGTGGGCAGACCTACCGGGGACCCCACTTACCTGCATATCCTTCCTGGCGATGAAGCCCTTGCCTTCAGCATCACAGGTCTGAAAGAATTCCTGTGCCTTCCTCAGCATGTCTAGCTGGCCCGGCGTCTGCTCCTGAGTCTCCTTCTGCTCCAGGCTGTCCAGGGGATGCAGGCAGGCTCCACGCCCCTTTGGCCCCCGGCCAGACCCCTGACCAAGTCTTTGGGGTCTGGAGACTACCCTCCCATCAGGGGCAGCCATCGAGATTAGTCAGTTTCTTGAAGTCTTTTTCAGAACCTGAACATGGAAAATGGGAGAGAGAAGTGGGTGCGGTGGGTTGGAGTGAGGTTGAAAAAGAACAAGAGGGGATGAGAAGGAAGCACAGAGCCACCCACCAGTGTGTCCAGGCATCTCTTAGCAACCACCTCTTAATTAGCAAAAGCTCAGGACAAGGGGAAAATATTCCATGATCACTAATAGATCGGCAAGTCCATCAACGGGAGAAGGGAAGAGTGCAGAAAGAAGACAGACATCTCCAGATTGAAAGGAGATGGAATAGGGGAAGCCCAAAACTAATTTCTCCCAATTTAAACAACCAAACAACAACAAAACAGATCCTGATAGACCAGCTGCCATTTATAGAGCGTTCACTTAGACACCATGCCATGGCCTCTATATACATTTTTTCCATGTAATTCTCACATCTCTCTGACATAGCCATTATCATCTTCATTTTAGCAATGTGAAAACTAAGGCTCAGAGCGGTTGAGTGACTTGCCCAATATCACACAACAAATTACTACATAAGCTGAGATGGCAATCCAAGCTTGTATAACTTGTATGATCTTAATCCCACCCTGTCGTGACTCCTCAGCATTGCCGAGGGTGGAAAGCTCTCCTCAGGCAGATGCACTTGCTCCTACATCATTCACAGTCAACCGGTTCTTGGTGAGCTCTTACTCAATGTCGTAGACCTCTGCCACAGCTGTGAGCTCTGCAGTTTAAGTAGGAGAAAATGTGCCCCATTCTCAAGGAGCTTCATGTTGCACAGGACTTGCCAGGCCTGGTTTGGTGATGCCCAAGGCTGTTTTCAGCCCAAAAAGAATCACAAATCATACACCTCAATCAGACCTTTAAAGACCCTGAAGGAGTGTTTTCAGAGGGTATCTTGCAATGTGATGTGGAAGACAGTAAACAGAAACCTGGCTTCCAGTCTGGACTCCACTGCTGCTGCTTATATGACCTTGAACAAGTCGGTACCTGACTGGGCCTCAGTTTCCTTATCCGTATGAGGAGACTGGATCTGTTTATCATTAAGGTCCCTTCTAGTTCTGATCATCTGTAAGTCTGTGAAATCCCCACATCATAAAATGCTATTAATTGTAAATGTTATTAATAAAAAACTGAGTTCATGGGATAAAAGGAAATCATAACATCCTTGGATTGTTTTTTTCCATCTGAAGACTTTTTGGAAGCAGAATAGGTCCAAATTTTAAATACATGATCACATTTGGATTTAAAAATAGAGATATGCACTGTCATGCATTTTGTGGCAAGCTGGAGAACGTGATGCCCTGGATCATATTTCCTGTGTCCATGTGAGTAAGAAAGGAGGAAAATAAGTGAATCACCAGGCAGGTTTCTCTGATTACTAGGCCCTGGGCCTCTGGCTCAGCTATACCATGTCCAAAGCAATCTAAAATCTGTTGATTTCAGTGACCATCTTCCCTTTACCAGATTTGTCAAGAGCTGGGGGCCAGAGCTGGAAGAGCTCCTGGCATCAGGAATGAACTTCATGTAACAAGACCTTGACAGGGCAGAGCAGACGACACCTCTCGCTCCGCGTGGCTGAACATGTAATTCCCACTCTGACCCATATGACCAGCCCTGTCCTCGGGAAATGTTCTTTCTTGTCATCCCTGTGTGTGTGTACTGACCATCGCCGAATCCTAAGCAGATTTCACATTTCTATTCTGTCTTCCCCAGAGGGAGCTGCCTTGGATGTAAGCCTGAGGAGGCAGGGCTGTGTCTTCGTGGCTTTTATGTGCATTGTTCAACCCACCTGCATGCAGTGCTGGCTTTGCAAGGGCTTTTGGATAACGATGGTGGTAACGTGAGCTTCTGTAAATATAGCACATGAGCAGAACAGGCTGTTGTCTTCCTGGGACCTTGCCGGGACTCTATCTGCAAGGTCTCTGCACCCAGTAGGCCCCACCCTACTCCCACCTGCTGCTCCCAGGAGACGAGATTAATAATATCTGTCATTCCTTGAGTGCTTTCTCTTGCCAGGCCCCTACCATACTTCATCCTATTGAACCTGACATCCTCCCATACGGTAAGTATAATCAGGATTCCCATCATACAGATGAGGAAACTGAATTTTGGAGAGGTTAATTTGGATCAAAGTTTGGCACAGTCAGAGACCTCTTCTGCTACACCACATTGCCTTCCTGAGACCCAGTTGGGGGCTTGCTCTTAACAGTGTACTCATCCCCAACTGATCTAAATCACCTCCCAGAGGCATATTCATCATTCTAACGGGAACGTCTTTAATTCATTCATTCATTCATCCATTCATTTATTTCCATCTACTGATTACTATGCAGCAAGCTCTGAGCTAACACTGAGAAATAGTGTTAGGTGACATAGTGAGTAGGACATGGTCCCTGCCCTTAATGAATGAGTCTCTGAGAGTCTCTAATGGTGGGATTTCAATAATGGTGACTGACAGTGGGGGAAAATGTTTTAGATTGAGTCCTAAATAAACTCTGTGGCAATCAACTACTATTAAATAGCTGTGTGACCTTAAGTGAGCCCTCAAGTCACTCTGGGCCTGAGAAACAGTAGAGAGGATTTCTTAGTTCCAGATCTGATGCTTGCTGGCTTTCTATCTTCCCTAGACCACTTTCCCTCGACCTCTGCCCACCTGTTAACAGGTGATGCATGACATGAAAGAGTCAACTAGTAGTTCTAGAGAAGTCAGCTATGAGCAACCAGCAGACAGGCACCAGGTCTTATCTGATTTTACGGCCAGTTTCTAGCCTAGAATATGGTACACAGTAGGTACTCACTGACCATTGTGTGAAGGAAGACCAATCTTTTGCTGAAGTCTTCAGAGGAGGGCCTGCAAGCATTTTTATTTCAGGCAGGTAGCTCTATATGTGGAATTTTTATCTTATAATAAGTCTAGACTTCTGTTTCCAGAAAAGACGTAGTATCAGAGGCTGGATTTACCCTCCCAATTGAAATAACCAAAAATCCAGAGAGAATATAACTTTAAAAATGGTTTTCAAGACACTAGACATCAGGAATGAAGGGTGGTAATCCTTAAGCAGGGGCAGGACTATACTGAGCTGAGTGAAGCCCCTACAGAACAGGATTTTAAAAGACATTTACTCTCAGGACCTAACCCTGAGCTCACACAACCCTGAGAATTAGTACCTGCCCAAGAGTCAGCTGCTTAGGGTACAAAATCTAAGGAGGCTTTCGCTCGCAAAATTGTGCACCTGACAGTGATTTCTGTCCTAAATTTTTTTTATCATAGGGGCTTCACTCATCTTACTCTAGTTCAAGCTCTGCTCCTGAGAGATAGGAAAGAAACAAAATGAGCCCCAAGTTTGCCCTGTCTTATTGTCTAAAGAGTTTTCAGGAAACACAGGCACAGTTTGGTAGACTGCCTATGTTGAGGAAACTCAACTATATCCTGCTTACGAGAAATGTGTTTTACACATAAAGACACAAACAGTTAAAAGTAAAAGGCTGGAAAAAGATATAACACATTAACATTAGTTAAGAGAATATTGCATATTAATATCAGGCAAAACGGATTGCAGAAGGAAGAATATTAATGGGAATTAAAAAGTCATTTCATATGGATAAAAGGTCAACATGCTATAATAATGCTAAACATTTATGTGTCTAATAGCAGAGCTTCGAAATACACAAAGCAAAAACTGATTGAACTGCAAGGAAAAACAGCAAAGTCATAATGATATCCAAAGATTTCAATAACTTTCTTTCTCAATAATTTGTAAAACAAGTTGACAGAAATCTATAAGGATACAGATGACTTGAACAACACTATCAACCATCTTGACTTAATTGACATTTATAGAACATTCCACCCAACGACAGCTAAATATACTTTTCAAATACACGTGGAATACTGACCAAGATAATCCATATTCTGGGGCACAAAATCAGTCTTAATGAATTTAAAAGGATTCAATTTGTACAAAGTATGTACTCTGACCACAGTGGAATTACATTAGAAACCAATAACAGAGAGACCTCTGGAAAATGTCCAAGTATTTGGAAAGAGAGTAACACACTTCTAAACAACCCATGGGCGAAAGAAAAAAAACAGGAAAGGAGAAATGAAAAAGTATAGTGAACTAAATGAAAAAAAATCACAATATATCAAATTTTGTGGGATACTGCTAAAGCAGTACTAAGAAAAAATCGATAGCACTAATCATATATACTCGGAAAGAAGAAAGGCTCAAATCAATGACCTCAGATTTTACCTTAAGAAACAAGCAAAATAAATACAAATTAAACCCAAAGTAGGGAGAAAAAAATAATAAGGATCAGAAAAGAAAAAATGAAATAGAAAACAGAAAGGCAATGGAGAAAATCAACAAAACTAACAGCTGGCTCCTTGAGAAGATCAATAAAGAGAGAAGACATAAATTACAATATCAGCAATGTGAGGTGATATCATTACAGATACTCTAGATATTAAAAGGCTAATAAGAGAATATTATGAATAACTTTATGCCAACAAATTTGACAATTTAGATTAGATGAACCAATTTCTTGAAAAACACTAAATACCAAAGCTCACTCAAGGAGAGACAGATTACATGAATAATTCTATATCTGCTAAAGAAATTGACCTGGTAGTTAAACAAAAAATCTTCGCACAAGAAAACTTCAGGTCTGCAGAGCTAAATTGATGAATTCTATCAAATATTTAAAGAATGAGTAATACCAATTCTACACAGACTCTTGCAGAAAATTGAAGAGTAGGAAATGCTTCCTACCATATTATATGAGGCCAGCATTACCCTGATACCAACACTGAACAAAGATATTACAGAAAAAAATAGGCCAATATCCCTTATGAACACTGATGTAAACATTCTTTAGGGAATTGTAACAGATTGAGTTCAACGCCATACAAAAAGATGATAATCCTGACCAACCAGGGTTTATCTGAGAAAGGCAAGAATGGTTTAACATTTAAAAATCAATAATGTCATTCATCATATTAACAAAATTTTAAAAGATAAACC